CCAAGGTCGTAGTGTTCCAAATTTTGGTCCTACAGAGTCATCTACGACTCGTAATTTCCCGTGATCTCTACGATTAGAGATATCTGATGGGCTGCAACAAGTCTTGTTTCTACGTCTGCTTACGCAACTTTCATGAGCCAAACCCTCGCTGGTTCATCCTCCACTCCGTGCAAGGTCAGCTAAAACCGATACCGAAATTATCATCATGTTTCGTAGCGGGGAATTGGGGGTTCTTTGTTATCAGTGGACTTGTAAACGGCAACCCACCTTGGATGGCTTGTTACTCAATTGGGTCGGCACGAATGGATCCGCCTCCCGTCCATGAAGATGGCTCGGGCTTCCCCTTGGGTAAGTCTCATTGGCAACATTGTCATCTTCTGGACTGCAACATTGTCATCACCAAACTCTCCAAACATTCTGCTGGCAACATTGTCATCTTCTGGACTGGACAACTTCAAGATACGCGGGAGTTTTGTTCTGCTGAGATTTCCCTGCAAATACACAATGGATGCGAGATTTGGGGAACCATTCAGTGGTTCGCGCTGTCTTGGATCCTCTCTCAAACCCTTATGATGTCAAGGTCTTGTATTCTGCTTCTATCCATGTCTGAAATTCCAATCTTCTTTCTCAAACTAACATCTGATTTCTCTATGAAACTTGGTAGTCTTGCTATACTTTGTTTTCTAACTGTTTATCATCATAGCATATAGAGCGACAACAGACCAAAGCATTTGAATCCCCTTAGTTTCTTTGTCCATATACATACAAATATATGCCATTATAAGGAGAAGTATCACTCATTCCATGTAGGGGTCGGATTCTACCCTGGTAAGATCAAAACTGGAAAATGACTAAGTATGGAGATTGGGGCGAAAACGACTGGACGAACCCACCTGTCCGGTGTCCGACGAGGCAACCTACCCGACGAGGTGGACTGCACGACTGTGCTCAAATGGCAAGCCTGGCGAGATCAAAAACAATACCTAGCGGGCAGGACAAGTCTGCAATGGAGAAGTGGGCTGACATAACCAAGAAGCCCACAAGACAAGCCTGGTACGAGGTGAAGCCCAGAACGTGACAAGACAGGCCGAGTCCAAGACATGGCAAGATGGGCCGAGCAGGTCGGCGCAGCCCACTAGGTGTAGCCGACCTCAAAGAGAGAAATCTCCAAAAGGAGAAGGAAAACTTCCTGTTTTCTAGGGGTTGACTTAGCCGACCTAGTTTACTATATATACCAATGTATTTCCCTTGAGAAAGGGATCCACAACTTTACTCTACAGAAACTCTTGTATTCTTAAGCTTTAACGGAAACAGCAATAAGAACCATCTTCAATCCTTTGTTCTTGTGATTTTGTACTTGGAAGACTCAATCCTCTTGCAACCCTTGACAAATTTAACCGTGGTGATTCTACCTTCCACATTCCATATCATCTCTTCTTCTTCTTCCTCTAGAACAAGGTCATACAAAGTTATAAACTCATTTAAACATACATACACATAAACAATTTAACTATAAATATCAGTTATTAGAAGAAGATACATTTTGGATCCTCTCTCACAACTTTATGATGTCAAGGCCTTGTATCCTGCTTATGTCCGTGTCTGAAATTTTTATCTTCTTTCTCAAACTAACCTCTGATTTCTGTATGAAACTTGGTAGTCTTGCTATACTTTGTTTTCTAACCGTTTATGATCATAGCATATAGAGCGACAACAAACCAAAGCATTTGAATCCCCTTAGTTTCTTTGTCCATATACACACAAATATATGCCATTATAAGCAGAAGTATCACTCATTCCATATCATCTCTTCTTCTTCTTCCTCTAGAACAAAGTCATACAAAGTTATAAACTCATTTAAACATACATACACATAAACAATTTAACTATAAATATCATTTATTAGAAGAAGA